AGAGGAGCAGGAAAGCTGACATTTCGGGTCTGGACCCTTCTTCAGAACAAGCCCAGACCTGAAACATCAGCCTTCCTGCTCCTCTGATGCTGCCTGGCCTGCTGTGTTCATCCAGCTCCACACATTGTTACCTTACGCATCTTATACGTCTCCTAAAAGTGGTCTGCTCTTTATCAGTTGGTAGCACTCTTGTATCTGAGTCATGGGTTCAAATCCCACTTCAGGCCTTCATCACAAAAACTCAGTCTGACTTAAGTACTGTACTGATGGGGTGCTGCACTGTTAGAGGTGCTATCTTTCAGATTAGACATTAAACTGAGGCCCCATTGCCTGTTTGGGAGGAGGTAAAAGATCCTATGATGCAATTTCGAAGAAGACCCCAGCAATTATCCCTCGTGTCCTGACCTACATTTAACACTCAACCAACATCACAACAAAAAATAAGTACCTGGTCTTTTTTGCATTGCCATTTGTGGGCATTTGCTGTATGCAAATTGGCTGCCACATTTTCAACATTAGGAAAGTGACTGCTCTTCAAAAGTGTAGAGGTTTATAAATCATGAGAGACATGGATAAGGTGATTAGCCAAGGTCTTTTTCACAGGGTAGGGGAGTCCAAAACTAGAGGGCATAGGTTTAAGGTGAGAGGGGAAAGATTTAAAAGGGACCTAAGGGGCATTGTCTTCACACAGAGAGTGGTGTGTGTATGGAATGAGCTGACAGAAGAAGTGTTGGAGGCTGGTAGAATTACAACATTTAAAAGGCATCTGGATGGGTACATGAATAGGATGAGTTTAGAGAGATATGGGCCAAATGCTGGCAAATGGGACTAGATCAGTTCAGTATATTTGGTCGACATGGATGAGTTGGACTGAAAGATCTGTTTCTGTGCTGTACAAGTCTATGACTCTATGACCCTAATTTATTGACCATAAAGAGCTTTGAGACCTCCAGTGCTTATGAAAGGTGCGTTGAATTCCATTTTGGTAACTTTTCAATGTGAAATTTATCAGGTTTCCGTCACTAAAAAACAATGTTTTGTTGTCTTTCAGTCACCTCTTGGTCTGCCTCTGCTAAGAGCATTTGCAATGCTGTATCCTTCCTTGACGAAGATACAGCATAATTAAGAAAACATTTTTAAGTAATTTATTCTAAACATACCCATTTGTATAGTCATATTCTGCTTTAGGATAATTCACATCCCCTGTGATGACATATCTGTCACTGTTATAAACATCTTATTTCCTTCAAATCTTACCCTCATTTTCTCTCCAATGATTCAGTATCATGGAGTACTCCCAATGGAGACAAAACCCCCTAATTATTTTTCAACACAAGTCAGATGATGTTTGATCATCACCACTAGTAAGAACGTCCCTTTCTTTAGTTGCATCCATTTTTTCAATTAGTAAAATCACTCAATCCTTTTCTTCCTTTGCCAACTTTGCTGAAAATTTTATCGCCAACACATCCAACTCTTGCATGCTGAAGCAAAATTTTCATTCAGCCTACAACCCTATTCCCAATGTTTCTCTCATTGCTCATGGTTCTCAGACTAATACATTCATATTCACATAGAAACATTTTGCCTGGTCCATTCAAGCTGTTGAAAGGGCTTCTTTCCTTCTGCACTTTTCTCGCTTGTTCATCAACTTCTATCTTCTTAGCTTCCATTCTGCCTGTCCTAAAGCACTTCCACTGATATAGACAGTGGTGTCTTTTGATGTCTCTGGAATGTATTGCGTGCTGTAGCAATCAAGTGATATCAAACCAAAGCTTGGTATCAGGTTCATCATCAATGAGTTTTCTTGGCACACAAAGCTATCACTAACACCCAGGGCCGGACAATCCCATCTCTATCAGGCGTGGGTTAAGATTCTTCGCAGGTTTTCGTGATGTTGCTAGACAAAACAGTTCACCACTTCACAAACATCAGTGACTTTATGTCTCAGTCTCTCCATCTTCATTGTTTCTTTCTTGCTTTCCACTGATTAGATCCCAGACTGTAACTCACTGCCAGGTATCCTATTCTAAAGGCTATTTATCAATTATATACATTATAATGTACACCCAACAGTGCATTACAGGGTCGAGATTAAGTGCTTGGAATTACTTTTACGTTGTACAACTCTATGATTCTACTTCAATAGCCGTAAGGAGTTTAGAGACTTCCAGTAGTTGTGAAAGTTGCTATATGAAATCTAGACAAAGCTGGACAAATAGTGAATCTAGATTTTATGCAGCACTTTTCACAACCATTGGATTTCTAAAAGCTCTTTACGGCTGATGAAGTAAAGTCATAGCGTTGTACAGCACTTAAGTCACCCAAGTACTTCATCTCAACCCTGTAATGCGCTGTTGGGTGTATATTATAATGCATATACATTGGCAAATAGTCTTCTGCCTCCAGAGCAAGATCAGGCTCAATATGGGGCGCCATACGTCCTATGGTCTTGGTCATACACATCACGTTGTAATGGATCGTAACTACATTCATAACCTGGCTCTCTCACAAGTTGAATTTTCACTCATCTTGTTGTACACCCACCCAAAAAAAAACACCCCTTACATCCTACTTTAACCATAAGTTACTTCTCATCTATTTGCCCCCTTCCAACTTGCTGCCACATCGTTTCAAAGGTAAGTTTCATTTCAGCAGCTCTTGAGAAGCTTGACCTTGGTGCAGTCCAGTCTTGGCCTTTGAACTTCACCTCTTTCTGCCATTTTGCCATTAACCTCCCCACCCCCACCCCCATCCCATCACCTCATCCGCCACCCCTCCCACCTCCCCCAGCTCCCGGCCACAAACCCTATGCCATTGCCCAAATACTCAAAACAAAAGGCAAGTGCAAACTGAGCAAACCAGCGAGAAAGTATCTGATAGAAAGCTATGGGGAAACATACAGTGACAGGAGGAGTTTAACGGTAAATAAAGAGAAAGTCAGAAAGCGGAATGAAATCATGAGCAAATGAAAGAGTAGAGCAGACAAACAGCAAATTGAAAGGCTGCAAGGAAAAGAGAAAGGCAAAGCTCAATTAACAGCTTAGGAACCTTTGGATGAGCTTCCAATTTGTAACTCACGCCTGAGCATCCATCATTCCAAATACTATATATCATTCAAACCCCTTAATTACAGTCCAGTTTGGAACTCATTCCCAGCTTTACATTATTCTACGCATAAACCATCTGGAGTCCTCATTTAGATTCCAGTCTGGAACTCACTCCTGCATATCCAGTATTCTATATATAAGCCACCCAAACTCCTTAATTAGCAGCAAGCTGTAGTACACTTCTGGATATCCATTATTCTATATATAAACCAAGCAGACTCCTTGATCATTTTCTAGCCTGCAACTCAGTCCTGAGCAAATGCTCCTTCTAAGCTACACGACTACACAGGAACCCGCAAGCCCCCGCACAAGTTGGCTCCACTAAGTTACTGCTTATGTGCAGCTACGTAAAGTTAAAGGGCCAATGCACTTTAAACAAGATTCCTGCACACCACACAAAAAAAATGGAGGGCACATTAATCCTGGATATCCATTATTCTATCTATAAACCACCTGAACCCTTCAATTTAGCTCTGTTGTGTAACATTGTCCTGGTTATCCATTATTCTATATATAAGGCATTCAAACATCTTGATTTAAGTCTAACTTGTCAGTCACTTGAAGGGTGTCTATTATTCTACATGCAAACCATATGAAACACTTGATTAGATTCCTTAAAACTGACTCCCTTGGTGTCTGTTATTTTATATTTAAGCCATAGGAACGCCTTGATTAAATTCCAGCCTGTAACTCATTGCCAGGCTCTTTGGTTATTTTATATTTAAACCATCTGAAACCTTCGATTCGATTCCTCCCTGTCCTTCATTCTCTATATCCATTAGTCTATGTATAAACCATACACACTCTTCACTTATTTCCAGCCTGTAACTTAACTCCCAGGGTGTCTGTTATTGCACCTATAAACAATCTGAATACTTCAATTACACCGCAGACTGTAACTCAATCCTTGGGAATACAAATCTCAAATGCTATTAAGATTCTAAAAAGAAAATCCAGATCTCTTAAAAAGGCTGCAAGGTAGAACTGCTCCTGATTCAGACCAACAGGACTTACATGCTTTTTCCACTGAGCGCTCATGCACTCGTCCACCTTGCATTGGCACACTTTTGCATGCTCACCCTATAGCATGCTCACTGACTTACACACTTGCCAACTTGCGTAGATTGACTTGCACACACTCTCCACTGTGTGCTTACCCACTTACACACTCATTCACCTTGCACAGATTCACTTACAAGTTCTCCCCACCTATTCTGGCTCTCCCACAAGCTTGCTTACCTGCCTGTTCACTTACCTGTTGACTGTCTGGCACATTTATTATTTGGTCCAAATTCTTTTCCACTGGTAGGGCCTTCCTCCCCATTGTTCTCACAACACTCCGATCAGTCTGCACCAGCTTAAACAGCACAAAATCGACACAAAATGTCACGGTCAGGAGCACCGCGAGTGAGGCTGCCATTTGTCTCCGTGTATGTTATTGTCCACAGCAAGACAGATATAAGCATCAATAAAATGTTGTGAATTTCTGTTTTCTCTTGCTTCCAATGTACGGATTCGATTTCACCGCTTCTGAATTGGATCCAGTTTGCACTGGGGTTTGCAGGTCCTTATACAGAATACTCACTTTCGGTTGAAACCTCGCACTCAGACGCTTTTCTCTACATGCTGTTATTTTTGATCCTTGAATAAACTCGAGAAAGGAAGAATGCAATTATCTTTCAAAGAGCTTTCTTTGGCGTTCCTATTTCCGTGTAAGCACGTTTACTGGTGCCTCACTCACTAGCCATGGGGCCTGGTCTGGCTGTGCCTTAGATAAAGTGTCACAGAGACCTGATTGCCCACTGTCTTAAAGAAGAGCTTTGGAAACTTGTTCTGGTTGCAAACTCAGTCCAGGCAAATGAACACTTTCCTCATCATTATTAACAATGAAACCTTGCTTTGAGAATCAGCCTTCTTTCTTAGGTGATGGGAAGTCCCGTTGATAATAGCCTGATCTCTTAGCCTCAGGTGACAAGGCTGTCCTGGCCTTTTCTGTCTCGCATCTCCTTTCACTGAACATGTAAAGGTTTCTCTCTGCCTCTCTCTCTCTGCCTCTTGTGGCGTTCCCCTGTGTAAATATCTGACCTTCTGTCAAGCTGATGCTCAGGTTCCCGCCTCAGCTCTGCCAGACAACAACAGGGCTGCTTCTCATTCCACACCTACTTCAAGTTACAGAACTTAACTCTGTAACAGCCACAGTACTCAGCAATAACCATCCCTTGTAATTTTTCGCACACAAGGAAGAAGGGAACACTTCACTTTCATTCAGTCCCGAGCGCATCTTAGCTTCAGCTCTAAAATGTATACACAGTACCTGGGTTAAAAAGAATGATTCAACTCTGTCTAACAAACACTGTATGATTTAATATGTATGTCAATGTTAGCTTCTGTACACATATGTTGTGAAATTCTATTGAGGTTGGAGAGAAAGTGGTGAGTCTGTCTTCAAGCTGAAAAACGGCACCATTTATTATCTACTTAAAGTATTTACTTAAATAAGGAGTAGAGAACATTTCTGCTGGCTCAGTCTGGGTCTAAATGTGTCTCACATCAGCAATCATCACTGATGATATATTCCATTCATTAGTACAATGGGACTTAACTATTATTGTACCTCAAGAGTTTTATTCTATCCCTTTAAATCAAAGATGGTGGCACCAGCAAAGTGGGCATTTGGGCTCCTGGACCCATCTATCCCAGGTGTCTGCTTCCTCCCTTCTTTCCTTAACCTTTCTATCTTCTTTCTTTTTCTTTCTCTTTGTCTTCTTCCTGTTGGCAGCGGCGGCGGAGGGAGTGACATCGGTGGGGGGGGAGCAGCCGGAGCGGGACTGATGGTGAGGCAGTGGCCTGGCATGGCGGTGAAGTCAGGGACTCCTGGTTGCGGTTGGCTTGGATCGGGGACTCTGGGCCTTGGCGAGGTGAAGACAGTGGCAGCTCATGGTAGTGGCAGGCTCGGAGCGGAGGGGTCTCCTGGTGGACGTGGCAGAGGGAAATTGGACTTTCTTTCATATTTGTCTTTTTTATTCTTGAATTAATCGAATGGCACCAGATTGTGATGACAGTTGAAGCTTTTCACTGTATTGTACTCCATTGTCCCTTGCAGATACAAGTGACAATAACTCATTAAAATAAATTTCATTAAATTAACTTCATTTAAATCATTTTAGTTTAACTATTAACACTTCTCTTACCATTTAAATACTAAAATTTCTCCTATCATTTAGCCATTTTCCATTGGCGTTTTCCCTGAATACATCACCCCTCCTCTTACCCTCTGGTGTCTTTCTAACTTTGGCCTCCATCTGTCCTGGGGAAGGAAAGATTGTCATTCATTTTCTTGCTGGCAGGAAGACAGAATGTTGAACAGGTTGGAAGTTTAATCTTATTCAACCAATAGAAACTGCAGCATTGCCATCGTAACAACAGCTGTCTATGGTTCTGAAAGGGTTATTACTGAAGAGTGCCATCGATGAGACACCAGTGAGTGATTCGAAGGTGCTGGAAATACTCAGCAGACTTGGCAGCATTTGTGGAGAAAGAAATAGAGCCAACATTTTGAGTTGAATATGACTGTTCTTCAGCAGTTGAAGGGAGGTAAAAATGTGATTGATGCGATGCTGCTGAAGAAGGGAGGTAAAGGAAGAACCAATGGCAAATGTCTGGGATAGGTACAAAACAAGAAAGATTAAATGACAAAGACGTCATGGAACAGAAGGAGAGGAAAGTGAGAAGGGTTGTTGCAAAGAAGTGAAGCATTTGGCCAGAGTGAGAATGAATGTTATTTTAATGAACAGTTCTGTTTGAAATCTCTCTCTCTCCCTCTGTCTCTCTCTGATGCTTTGACAAAACTCATTTTCTCTTCCTCTCAGTTGTTATGGAACTCAGACTCTAACATTCATTGGGACCTCCAATCCTTCTCCCACTCCTCATTTCTCTGACCCCATCCCTTCTTCCAATACCTAACTCTGCCCATGTATTCAAATTACCGTCCTCCCTGATGTTTTATCCCCCTGTGCCTCCACCTCAATAAATTTCCGCCTCAGCTTTCAGCTCCTCTTCCACCACTTTCAACTCCATGTTCACACCTTTGGGCAGGAGTCCTCTTCCTGCATGCGAACCCTCTCACCTGCCTCAAATACTTTCTCTCCACCTTGACTGCCTCCCTCTGGCTTCTCTCCTGCTCTTGATCTTTTCATTAAGAATGGTTGGCATGACCCCAGCCATCTTAATTTATCTGCTTTTCTCAATCGCTCTGACCTGCCTCCCTCTGAACTTCTCGCCCTCTGTTCTCTGAGGCTTCACCATGACTTTGTTATCAAACCTCCTGATCAGGGCAGTTCTGTTGGCATCTGCTGGTATACCAACCTCTACCTTGCAGAGCACCAACTCTTTGACACGACCTCCTATTGAACAACGCTTCAAGCTGTTGTTTTCAAGTCATTCATTGACTCCCTCTCCCCGGAGACCTTCCCTTCATAGCTTCCCACCTCGTAATCCCTCCAACCCTGACCGGTTACTCCTGTCTCCTTGTCAAAATCCACAAACAGGACCATCTTGGTAGACCCAATATTTAGCCTGTTCCTACCTCACACACTTTATTTCTTCCTATCTTGACTCTATCATTTCTCCTCAGTTTAATAGGTCAGGGTGGCATATTTGCTCAGTGGTTAGCATTGCTGCCTCTCAGTGCCAGGGACCTGGGTTTGATTCCAGCCATGGATGATTGTCTGTGTGGAGTTTGTATGTTCTCCCTGTGGCTGCATGGGTTTCCTTTGGGTGCTCTAGTTTTCTCCCACAGTCCAAAGTGGTGCAGTTTAGGTGGATTGGCTGTGCTAAAATTGCCCATAGTGTGCAGACTCGGCAGGTTAGCCATGGGAAATGCAGCTTACAGGGACAAGATCAGGGGCGGGTCTGGTGGGATTCTCTTCAGAGTGTCAATGTGGACTCAGTGGGCTGAATGGCCTGCTTCCACACTGAAGGGATTCTGTGATTCTAATCTCTCCCCTTACTCTTTTGACCCCGTACATCATTTCAACAATTTTCAATTTCCTAGCTCCAATCTCCTTTTCTTAACTATAGATGTCCAATGCATCTATGTCTCCATCAACCACTGAGATAGTTTGAAAGCTTTCTTCTCCTTCCTTGAACAAAAGCCTGAACAGAAGCTAAATACCACCATCCTCCTCCATCTGATTAAACATGTTCTCACCGAACAATTTCTCCTTCATATTGTTCCATCTGCTCCAAATAAATGCTTGTTGCAATGGGCACCCTGTGTGAGTCCAAATTAGTTTTTTTTGGTGGGAGATAGGTGGAACATCCCTTATTCCAGTTTTACGCAGGACCTTGCTCCAAGATCTTTTTCTGTTATTTCTTATTCATTCAGAGGATGAGGGTGCCACTGGCTGACCCAGCATTTATTGTCCATCCCTAGTTGCCCAGAGAGCAGTTAGGAGTCAACCATATTGCTGTGGGTCTGGAGTCACATGTAGGCCAGATCAGGTAAGGATGGCAGTTTCCTTCCCTCAAGGACATTAGTGAACCAGATGGGTTTTTTTGACAATCAACAATGGATTTATGATCATTGATAGACCCTTAATTCCAGATTCTTTATTGATTTCAAGTTCCATCATCTACAATGGCAGGATTTGTCCCAGGACCCCGGAACATTTCTGGATTAATAGTCTAGTGATAATATTGCAAGGTCATTGTCTCCCCATGGTAGATCAATAACCGTATTGCTGCCTCTTCCTGTTCTTGTTTGGAACTACAAAACCTTATTAACTTCTCTTCCAATTTCCACCCCTCTCTGATCTTCACTTGATCCATTTTGGATACATTCCTTCTCTTTCCTTGACTTCTCTGTTTCCATTTTCACCAATAGACTGTCTACTGATATTCCTTATGGCCCACCAACTACCCTGCCTACCCTTCCACACCCCTTCTTTCTGCAAGGACTTGATTCCATTCTCTGAATTTCTTCCTCTGTGTCACACCTGTTCTAAAGATATAACTTTCCACAAAAGCACTTCTATTAAATATTTCTTTTATCTCAACTGGGGATTCCTTTCCCATCCACCAAAGTAGCTGACTGTGTCCTCAACAGTATCTGAACTATTTACCCTCTCTCCTACCTCCCAAAATAACGATAGTGTACCTCTTGTCCTCACTTTCCACGCCACTAGGCTCCACAATCATAGGATCATCCTCTACCATTTCTGCCACCTCTATTATGATGCCACCACAAAATGTATCTTCCCCTCTGCTGCCCTGTCAGCATTCCAAAGTGACTGTCCCTTCTCCAACACCCTGGTCTGTTTCTCTTTCTGATTGTCCCTTTCCTATTCAGTTGCAGAAGATGTAACTCCTGCACTCTCACCTCCTCCCTCCTCACTGTCCAAGGCCCCAAACACTCCTTCCAGGTGAAGCAGTATTTGCTTGTACTCCTTTCAATGTATTGTATTCACTACTCACAATGTGGCCTCCTCTACACTGAGGAGACCAGACACAGACTGGTGACTACATTGTGGAACACTTGCACCCAGACTGCAAGTGTGAACCTAAGTTTGTGGTCTCTACTTATTTTACTCCTTTGCCTTGCTCTCATGCTCACCTCACTGTCCCCAGCCTGTCGCAGTGTTCAGTGAAGCCTGCTGCAAGCTTGAGGAACAGCACCTCATTTTCCAATTTGGCACTTCACAACTCTCTGGACTCTACATTGCATTTGAAAACTTTAGACCATAAACTTTGTGCCCCATGTTGGTTCCATTTTTTTTTTGTTTTGGCCTGAGCCTTCGACTGAACCTTTGGAAAAAGCTGTTCATCACATCATTCACACTCTCTCTGAAGTCTTGTTTCTTTCCTGCAAACATTACCACTTTGTTTCTCATCAGATGAGGATTTCACCACAGTCTCCATTCCCCACATTACATTTCACCCCCCTTTGCCTTCCTGAACCTTTCATTCCATGGCATCTGTGCTACTTAAACTCTCTATTCTACACAGACCTCCTCTTGTGTTCTTCCTCCACTCGCCCCTACAACAACATAAATTTC